TTCCAGCACATGAACATGCCTAAAAGCAATTTAAGATGTGAAAATGGAACCATCTAAGGCAGCTCAAAGTAAAACTCTGTCTATATGTGTCAGGTATATTTGAAAAGCGCATATATCCAGATTTTCAGTCGCTAACGAGTTCCTGTTATGAATATCGCTTTACTGGCGCTGCAGAAAAGCAAATTGCTTTTAGTGCGCCCAAATCTACATATCCATGAGGGCTTTCTCTACCAAATTCCAAATCGTCATATGGGCAATATTAGTATAACCTGTAGCTGCGGAGGAAATCAATATAGTTTAGCTCAGCTTCAACACTGAAATGATTAATTAACGGCAAACCGCAAGTCCGATGTTCGGCGCAATGTTATTTTTAGCAGTTTCAATGGAGATTGAGTGAATTGTTAGACTTGGTCTTTAGAAAAGAAGATGATGAAGGCTGGAAAGTGGCAGGAATGGGAGAACGGTCTCTTGTGGTTCTCAGAAAAGAACTTCTGAGTTTGTTGCCAAATTCTTGGAAAATGTACTTCCTGCTTCGCAAGGAGTTTGGCAAGAAACTCAGAAGTTTTATTCTGAACACCACAACAGACCGACTTCAACTTTCTTATATGATTCCTCTTTCTCCCTTCTGAAGAAATCAATCATAACTTTTTTCCCCTAAAGAATCATATTGTTTCAAATAGAAGAAATTGGGGAACAGACTGTTGCAGTCTTCAAGAAAAATTCTGCGTTTATTACCAAACTTTTGAAAAATGTGCTCCAAGCAATTCGCTTCTTCTAAAGAATTTAAAAATGTGAAAAGAAAACTTTGAAAATTTGAACAAACTGACTGCCGGCCTGTTGTACTCTTCAAAAAACAAAACTTCTGGGTTTATTCACAGACATTCAGAAAATGTGTTTTTCCTTCAGAAAGAAGAAAATGTGTTTTTTCTTTCGAACAAGAATAATGGATTTTTTTCTTTTGATTAATGAAGCACATTTTTGTCCAACAACAGGCCGAAAATCAAGTTAAAGTTTTTCATCGGTTTCAATCAACCCTTCAGATTGTTTTGGAAACTTCGTCTGAATTTTTTTTGAAATGTTTACCAAAATTTAATTTCATGTCATCCTAAAGGCGATTCAATTGCGGAAAGTAATACAAGAAATATATAGATCTTTCGGAAAATTAGTTCCTTCGTCATGGTGTACTCGTGTTTTTTTCCAAAAAATTATCAGACCAAACTTTGAAATTGAAGATCGGTTTGTTGCGGTCTTCAGAAAAAAGCGTTTCCTTCCTTCGAACAGAAAGACATTTTCTGATCGCAACAAACCGCTCCTCATTTCTTCAACTTTTCAAAGAAGACACCGAAGATTTTCATCATTCGACTCCTTCATGTTCTGAAAATCCAAAAACTTCAAATAAGGTTCGCAAGGTAACGTTTTTAAACAATAGCTATAAAATCGTTGGTTGTCAAGAACTTCCGCACTTGAGCGAGTGTTAATGTTTTTTGTGAAAACCTCTTTGAAGCTTTCAACTGATAGTTTAAATGTGCTTCTAAGGGAGGTTCATTTGCGGAAAGTACCAAAGAAATTTTCGAAAATTTTCTTGCAAAACGTTGGTTCTTTCTTCATGGTTTACAGGAGAGTTAAAGTAATCGGGGATAATTTTCAAGCTTTCCAATCAGTTTCAGTGAACTTTTCAAAAACATCTGTACCTACATGAGTAGTTTAACAGAAATGTAATTTCATGCGACCTAAAGTCGTTTCACCTGCCGAAAGTACCAAAGTAATTGATCTTCAGTAAAACCACTCAGCGTTCCACTAAAATGAAACACTGTCTGTCCTTAAAACTCCTTTATTGCCGCAGAGTTAGAATACGCAATAAAAATTCGACGAGTTTTGGAGTAATGAGGGAACAAAAGAAAACTTATCGCTGCCTTTAATGGCGCGAGCTTATTGCCGCTTGGATGAAATTTATACTGGCGATTTTTTAAAATCAATGGTGGCAATTTAAATAACTGTGTCTGAAGCTTATTAGGAAAATCACCATTTAGTATTTGCATCATTATCGACGATACGTCAAGCATAAAATCGCTCCAACTTCCATTTATCACTCTTACATGTGAACCGTTGCTACACTATCGGTATTTGTAAGAAGCTTTCATACATGTTTGAAGCCTAAGCGGCTTATGTAACTAATAGTGGGTTTAATGGATGTCGCGCTAGAAATTATTATTCCGTTCCATGCATCGACAACATGGAAAGACAAAAGTAGGCCACACTTGACTGCACATCTACCGATAGAAGATTTATGTGATTTGAAAGCTCGGATAGCTCCAGAGTGTTATTTAATAATTGAATCCTCTTTGCCGGAAACGTGATACGGTTACATGCGGTCGTTAGCTCAGTTAGTCATTAGTAGCCATTAGAGGATCGTTTGTAATAAATGTTCTCCTGGGTGTTTTTTCCTTCGATATTTATCCTTGTTTCAAGCAAAAGTTTCCACTGGTGATACGGAGAAATCTGCTGGCTTTTACTAGGGCGAATGATGAATAAGATTTGTATTTAATTGCGTAAAAAGCTCAATGTGGACATCTAAAAACTTTGCTCAACATCTGTGCTTAACGCGAAACAAGTTGCGAATGTTTATAATAAGTCTATTTAATATAAAGAATTCAGATGTAAACCAGTTTGTCCCACTTACAAACACGAGACGATTTTCCAGAACCCTCTGGATAAATTGAGATCGTTAAGACGCTGAATCTTTGGCACCCAATTGCCCTTTGGAAAATGAAACTGTCGTGAAACCGGAAGCTATTTCGATGGCATCTTAATATTAATTAGTCGGCATAAGTTTGGAAATCGAATTATTCCCATTTTCTTTTCCACAGCGTTCCGACGAGGCCCATATCTCATTCGAGAAGTTATTGAGCTAATTCGGCATGCTATTTATCGACGTCCCGAAAAATCCTTCAAAACTGGCCTAGTAAGTTCAGTTGCAAGCAAATTTAAGTGCAGAAGTTCTTACGAACCAACGAATTTGAAGCTATTGTTCGGAACATTTTTTCGTGGACATTTCGTGAAACTGCTGAGTTTCTAGGGTTTTTAGACCGTCGTCGATAGGAATTTGGAACGAGATAAAGATTTGTATGTGAAGAGTTGACTGATAGTGATGAAAGACTTCTGCTTCTTCTTGCGACAGACAGATTTTCCTAAAATTTGCTAATAAACTCTGAACGTTTTTTTGAAGGGTGGGCAGACCGATCTCCAATACCTTCAACGTTTCAAACTTTTTGATTTGGTGATTTTCTGGGAAGAAACACGAGTACACCAGACGACAAAACTAAATTTTCCGGGAAAGCTCCAATATCTTCAACTCTTCAAAGGCTTCGAAAACTTGTTTAATATCTTCCGCAATTCAACCGCATTTAGGATCACATAAAATTAAATTTGAATTAATCACTCTAAGAAGGTTATTAGATAAAGTTTCCTAAACAATGTGTTGACTGAAACTGATACAAAACTTAAGTTGAAGAAATTAGGGATCGGCCTGCTGTCCTCTTCAGAAAGAACGGCGTTTACTACCAAAGGTTCGAAAAATGTGTTTCCTCATTCGAAAGAAATCAAAATTATTTCCTGGGTTTCAGTCATTTATTGTCTCTATTTATCAATTAAAATACGTTTCGGTGTATTTTTGTTACGTTGTTACAACGTTGAACAACGCTATACATAAAAACTGATGATGGTGGAAAAATACACCGAAACGTATTTTAATTGATATAGACAATAAATGACTGAAACCCAGGAATTAATTTTGATTTGGAATTGAAACACAGTCAGGAAAGTATGTAAAATTCGAAAGAAAGAAATATATTTTCCTCTTTCTCAAGAAGAAAACACATTTTCTGAAAGGTCGGGAATAAACGCAAAAGTTTTGTTTTTTCAAGGGTACAACAGGCCGATTAATCAGGTTGATCTAATTTTCAAAGTTTCCTTTTCAGTCAAATTTTCAATTTCTTTAGCAAACTCTTTAGAAGAAGAAGAATTCTTCTAAGACGAAAGTTCCTAAACAGTGTGAAAAGTTAGCTGAAACTGATGGAAAACTTTGAAACGTAGAAGAAATTGAGAATCAGCCTGTTGCGGTTTTCAGATAAAAACTTTGGTTTAACCACAGAAGTTTGGTATTTATATCAAACGTTTGTAAAATGTGCTTTCGCTTTCAATATAAAAAAACACATTTTCATCACGTCGGGAGGTTCTTTATTAAGTACCACAACCGGCCGATCCTCAATTTGTTAGAATCTGCAAAGTTCTCTTTTCAGCCAAATTTTCAATTTCTATAACAAACTCTTGTTAAAATTCTTTAGATGAACATAATTCTTGACAGAGATTTTCTCTTAATGTTTAGGATTTTTTTGAATTTCTTTAGAACAAAGGAAGATGAAAACTAGACTCTTGTGGTGTGCAAAATTAGACTTCTAAGTTTATTACCAAACTTTCCTTCTTTCAAAAGAGGACACACATTTTTGCGAAAATTTGGTAATTTGCTCAGAAGTTTCTTTCTGAAGACCGTAGCAAATCGGAACCCAATTTCTTCAACTTTTCATCGCACTGTCCGCAATTGAACCGCTTTTAGGATCACATAAAATTTAATTTCGATTAAACACGCCAAGGAGGTTCGTAGATGAAGTTTCCAAAACAGTGTGAACAGTTGACTGATGCTGATGGAAAACTTTGACAAGTAGAAGAAATTGGAACTCTTCAGAAAAAGCTTCTACTTTTACTGCCAAAGTTTCTGAAAATGTGTTTGTTCACTTATTTAAGTAGTGCAAATGCACGCGAATTCAAGAGCAAAATTCTTGTAAACGAAATGAAAAAATAATGAAAAATAAATCTTTCCCTGACATTTGTTAAAATTTTCGGTTTTCAGAGTTCAAAAAGCACATCAGTCCAATGTAAATAGTTGTCAAATGTTTACAAAACTGATTGAACTTAAAAGACAGGAAGACATAGAAGGTACTTACCACCGTATTGGTGCTGGCCGAACTCGACCTATGATTAATCTTAGATGAATTCGCAGGCGATTGACTAGAAATCTTGTTCTGGGGCGGGCCCTCCCCATTCTTCACACTAATCTCTAAGTAACAGTGCGGCTCCAGGTGGCTCTGCGCTCTCCTCTCCTCATTCACTATTCGTCGGGCTGCGCGGAAGATCTTGTAGTAAACCGTTATCATCACCGTCAGCGGCATGTAGAAACTGCACATGGTCGCATAGACCTGATACCCGATGTCTTGCGACACTAAGCACACATTGTTTATGATCTCGCCTCCTTCCTCCTTTTGCGTATGTTCGTTGCCGATGATGAGGAGAGGAGGCAGCGAAATCATGGCAGCCAAACACCACACTAATACGATTCCCATGATCATGCGACGAGGAGTCCGTTTCACCCCATACTCCAATGGTTTGGTGATGGCCCAGTAACGGTCCACCGAGATCAGACAGAGGTTCAGTATCGAAGAGGTGCAGCTCAGAACATCCAGACTCACCTGGAAAAATCAAGTGGATCAATGCCAGTTTGTCGGGAGAAAGTTGGAGGCAACAAGCAAAATCACTTGCTTTCTCGGCCACCGTTCTTCAACCCATGAAATTATTTGGAGCGTATCTTGTAGAATTCAACCCCTTTGATCAAGTCGCGAAACACGGGCTTAAAAACATGAATCCATTATTCAAAGTGCACAGGTGCTTATACGGGAATACTTGTCGCATTTCCTACCCTTCGTCGATTCGCTCTTACTGACACCGATCTCGACTGGAGAGGCACTTTCCCGACAGGATAAACCGCATTTTAATTCATTAAAAATTAAATTAATCTCACCCACCCGATATCTTCTCTCGTTACCGTTGATCAGCTTAATTAATCAGAAAAGTTGTTTCCTTTCCATTAGCTTCTCCAAAGATAATATCGTTTCGGAAATGAAAGAATAACACTTGCGGCCACTTTGGCACGACGCCTGAAATATGGATTTTCGTTGCTTGACAGGGTGGCATATATTTATTCACGATACATTAGGCCCTTTCATGTCTATATGCTTTTAACGATATTTTTCTTAAAGGGTATTATGGGAATCTTTGCTTTGAACGTGTGCGGTTTTTTGTATGTCCCGAACGGCACTTCTCTCCTTCCCTGGAATGTTTACGCTCGAAAAAACTAGATGCTTTATAAAATTTTAATAAAAAAACTATTCTCAAAACGTGAAACGTTTTTTCTTTAAATAAGAAGACTGAAGATTCTAACGACATGAAGTCTAGGATCGCAATAAACCACCTGAGATTTTACGCAATTATTTGTTTGGTCTGCTCGGTAATAATCCTGCAGTTTATTTAGCCTAAAGTCCCGGCAGACATGGAAAATCAATCAATCAATAAATCAGGCCAATATTCGCCGCACATATAGATCGATGCATAAAAGTACGTTTTCATTTACGAGTATACTAATAAACACTCTTAGAAGTTATGGGATTTTAAGCCTAATGATTTTGGTCGTAAAACCTTTCCTGCGATTTCCTTTGAAATGCTGCCAACGTTGAATTGTTCCACATTTGGTTTTTTTATTACTGGTCTAACACTAAATTATGATTTATCCAAAATTATCTACTGGGATTCCTGGAAATAAAAATCATGATGAGTCTGCAAAATTGAATCTACCCAAACTTAAGTGAATCTTACCAAATCGATCGAAGTTCAATTATAAACACGAACTAAATTGCAAAATAAGCAAAATAATGCACACATTTTCAAACAAAAACCGAAGTACAAATATGACTAACTTTTTTTAAGCAATTTTTTAGCAAAAAATGGAAAAAATCCCGATGAAAAAATTGTCAAATCGCACTGCGACACAAGACTTTGAGAGCAACAGAAGCAAACAACATTTTATCCAAAAAAAAACCTTGAATAAATATGTCAGTTACATTCCTAGATAATCAGTTTAAAATAATGTTGTTGGTTTGGTTAATGAATGGTAAATTACAATTCAGTTTGCGTTATTAGGCATACGTGTTTATCATTATAATTACTATTTTCCGATAATGTGGTTTTGTGGCACCGAATTTAATTGATGAGCAAAAATTGGAATTATCTATCTAAAACAGAGCGGTATTTGAGTTCCACAGTATTCATTGATTTTCCATCTCGAATATTCCGGTTAAACGACAATTGTGCGTTGTTAACAAAACTTACAACTAAGCAGAAAACCATTTCGAGTGCTGCTCACTCCCAGCAATCGAATTACTATTGAAAATATTAATCTTATCTTAGTCATTATAAAATGCCAATCGTTTTTAAAGGGGCTAAAACTGTTTTTCTATGGAGTTCGTTCGAGTGTTTAGTACTACCTAAATACAACTGAAAACGGGGAAGTTTGCCAAAACTCACATGTTAAATTATGTTTGGCGTCTTTTGCGCGAAATATCCACCCTTAATACCACACGCTGTCTAGACTAGTTTGTTTGCCTTAGTTCATTCCCTCGGGAAGTTCAAATATTTATTAATAACAATTTCCAAGTAAAATTGTGTGAGGAAAATCGAATTAATTCCAATTTAGCAGAATTAGCGCCCGGACACCCACCAACCAATTAACGAGTGACAAAAGCGGATGGTAATAATTGCATTACGTATTTTTAAATTTTGCCAGCAAGATTAGTTATGAATTTTAAATTGCGAACGAACATTTTTATTCTTATATCCCTACATCGTGCAGATGCTACTCAGTTGGGGAATATTAAAACACTTTGCGCCATAAATTTCCCGTTCCTCGTCAAAAATATAATTACGTATTCCGAGCGGATGTTAAGACAAAATAACTTTTCTGGAAAATGTTCGATTAAATGGCCCTAATTTAGCTGTGAATTGTTCACAAGTAATTTATGATATTATAAAATCCTGAAGCGATCTCAACTTTTTTGAGTCTAAGCCTAACCGTTTTTGAGACATTTTTAGTTTTAGGTCAAAAATAAAATTTGTAGCACTGAAATAACTATTAAAATTTCAGTTATTCTTTATTTTGGGGCAGAGTTCTCGTTGGGAAACACTTACTTTATTATATTTTCCATGAGAGTTTGGTTTATAAATACAGTTTTAAAACTCAGTTTGGGATTGAAATTCAGCAAACCGCCAAAACTGTTTTCAAATTATAGCTCCAAATGGCAATAAGTTCAGCTGATTTCCCATAAAGCAACAGAGCAATTTTGTGTAAAGTAAAAAAAAATTCAGTTTTAATATTTTTATTTAGCTAGTTTGTGCGGATTTAGTTGTATTTAACTTATGCGATATCCGCACAAAAAGAAACCAAGTGCCTTTAAGCAAGATATAAAGAACCAGAGAATAAACAAAAAAATTAAATGTGAGCGCAATTTTTGTAACGCTGTAATGCGTATTAACATTTTCCCAACTGTAGAAATTATTTTGTACTTTTCAACAAAGTCCTAAAAATCTGCCATTAAAGCAGCGTTTCTATCTTCGGGTTTCGTTATATTTATTCTTGTGAATCACTATCTTAAATCGGAACTGTAGAATCATGGTGACCCTTAAGGCTGCCTGCTAACTGCAGGATTCATTTTTTTAGTGCCTTCTCTTCCATCTAACACATTAGCTGTGTTTGCTTCGAAATAAAATACACTCCATGCTGATTTCATATTGTTTTTTGAGCTTCCATCCCGCAATCATTCGTATTATTGTGCTGAACGCAAAACAATGTGCCATTTGCCCCCCTTTGCGCTTTAGCAAAATGCAGATGAAGTCTGATTTTGGTTTTAATTAATCAAAGCTTTCTGGTTGATAAAGCCTAATTAGAGTTATTGAAAATGGCCTTCCGCAGATCGAAAGCGAATATTCGTGCATTTAGGAAGATTTCCTGGCAAATATTTACTGATGGAAAACATTCATCAATATTTCCGTTCCTCTTTGATCTTTTCCAGTTCGAGTCATAATATATTTTGTGTATAAAACGCTGTTCGAAACAGGTATCAAATAAATGTGTTGGTTGTAAGAAGCGCGGTAGAAGCGGAACATTTATTATTCCAAAGCTGCCGTAGCAATTTAAATGGAATAGAAGTTTTCTTGCGAGCGAATGTGATAAATATTACATTTCATGCATTTGCCTGACTGCTATTGTTCAAACCATTCAGCTGCATAGAATCTCTTCCAGACCGGATTACTTTAATTGCTCAAGTGAACTTACCCACAAATTGCAGGCAATTTCTCCAAAAATCCATTTTCCCTTAATTTCATAGATGAGAGCCATGGGCATAACTAAGATCGCTACACAGAGATCACTCACAGCTAGACTAACTAAAAGATAGTTGCAAGGTCTTCGCAGTTTCCTCACGAGAAATATACAGACACAGACTAAAATGTTTCCTGAAACAAAAAAATTATTGCAACTTTCGCTTAATTAATTAAACTCTTTGGCCGTTTGGTTTTTCCGATCCCCATTTCATGCCTAAGTTTAATTAATTTCCCGAACTCCCCGTGTTGTATCAATGACTAATGAAAATTCACTGAAAATTGGTTGGTGAAAAAAATTAATTACTCTTTCCAACTTCAACATCAACAAAAGGTACATAACCTAATGATACACAGTAAACTGGAAAAGTTTTAAAATGTAAATTTCAGCCAAAATTGCAACAATAAGCGGCCGTGTGATAAATATTATGCTAGAGCTGAACTGCAAAGTGTGAATGCTAAACTCTAAAGTAAGAAAAAGTTGAGATAATTCGCTCAAAGACGATGCCAGCGTGTTTTCCACATCCCAAACTTTAATTACTTTCCAAGCATTTGCTCGCGAGTTTTGGCTCGATTTTCTCCTTCATTGATTTTTTATGTGTTTAATTAATCTTGCAATTTCCTTTTTTAGAAGCAAAACTGTTTAAAAATGCACACTCACCTATAATCGTTGTGATAATGATCCCACCCAAAATAAGACACATTGCAATACTTTCAACCAAATTATAGCCAGCAGTAGTTACTATAGTAGCATTGTAAGAAGAATGATTTGCAAGCACTATATGCGAAATGTTGGTCTCCATACGAGTGCTCTCAGGTTGTACGCGAGTTGCTGCTCATCATTTTGGGCTTTTCATGATCAATTCATGTGGTGCAAAAGCCATGGTTTTAGTCTATGTAGTAGCTGAGAGTTGCTTCTATTCCATGGTGTATCTGCGGAAGAAACAGAAGCATGTAAAGGATTCTTCTAGGTTCAGGCAAAACTGAATTCTCTGGCTTGGTTAGGTTTAAAGCGCTCAGGTTATCACGAAGTTATGAACAATTTTCCAAGATTATTAGAGAGATTCTATCCAGGAAAGTATCAGCTTATTGTTAAGTGCAAATGTAAAAATTTAATGTTCTTCTTAATCAGTTTCAAATTGGAAAGTTCATTGCCTCTCTACATTGATTCATTGAAGCACTAGAATCTATAACTTTAAATGTCCATCCCACAACCCTTCAATGAACTACGATTCCATGCAACTCTTTGTTCTCAAGTGTTAATTGAATCCAACTTTATCCATTAAAATCACACCGAAGTGAACAGCACAGTTCAATTTACGTGATCTGTAGGAACTAATATTGTCTTAGCAAAGATTCAATCATAAGCGCCCATTGAGACTGGGGAAGTGCGAATTCGACCGAAATTAAATATAATTTTGGCTTGATCCTCATTGTTTCAGCAAACACGCGGCGTTGGCTTTCTTAAAAGTTTGGAACAGCCGAAGAATAAACCGGCAAAGTTACGCAAAAGGTGAAACTCAAATAAACATAAGAGCTACTAAGCAGGATAAAGCCGGGATTAGCCTTAAGGGTCTTTATTCGGTTTTGATGCTCCAAATGGAAAATTTTGGGGAGAAAAGTGAAGAAATTGTTCGGCTCTTACCGATCGGAGGCAGACACAAAATCTCACATGAAAACCGTCCAAAATATGCGCAATTGACTGGAACAAAACACCAAAACTAGAGGAAATCCTCCACGCAGACCAGAACTTATGGCAAACTTTATCACAACTGACTATTCCTGCCATTGATAACAGAAAAATAATAAAAATACACCAATAAAGTCAGCTTTATCTCAATATTTATTTACCGCTTTGCCACTTCATTTCGTTAATTTGACTGTAGATAAATGTTGAAATTAAGTAATCAGATTTTTATTTGTTTTGCTTTTGATAAATAACCTCGCAACAGTGGGTGAATCGGGTAATAAATCCTGCAGTAATTGAAAAAACTCCGATCTAATTAGTATATATTTTTAGCGCCATCAACTCACAGTCTCCCTTAAGTAGCCAAAGTTATATCCAACATCCCTGGCAGAAAGTTAAGGCAGGAGTTGTAATTGAATTGATGAACGACACATTGAAAGTGAACTTTTAACTAACTGAGGCGTTTTGTAAAGCTCGAGCAAGGCTAAATGTCCTAATTAATATTGTGCTGCGTGTAATTTCAGGAGTGTTGATTATTCCTGCTTTCAAACCATATTTTCGAATTGTTTTAAAGGGAATCATAATTAAAATTTGCCCTTCCGAACTTCCTGTGGCATCCCATTTACATCAGGCTCAAATTGATTTGCAGGCATTAGTTGAGCACATAGAATAGTTAGAACAGGAGAACACAGAAACATCTTTGTTCTTTTAAGTTAGTTGTTCATAAACAAAAATTAATTAAATTCTTTCTACATTCAGTTTCAGTCGCGTCCCCTTTCCACGTAGTTCTTCCCTTCTCTTAAATGTATGTTTTGTGTTTTTCTTTGTCCGCCCCTTTTCCTCTTGTTCACTGGTTTTGCCTGCCAGATTTTTACTAGTTTTCTTCATCGATTCTGTCTTTTTATTGTTCACAGTTAAAGCTCCACTTTTAGTTGCTTCCTTCCGTGTTCTAATCGTTCCTGATTTCCTTATTCACTGAAAAAATATCCGCGATTGTCCGAAGCGCGAAAAACTCTCCAATGGTTTAGAATTGATTTTTATTTGATGTGTGAGTTTTTGTAAAAGCTTTGTCCTTTTGGAGTTTTTTCATTAGTTCAAGCATTTCTCCGTTTGTCCTCTGGTTTATATCTGCGTTTAGTTATCGCCTCTTTCTACGTTTCTTAAATGTTTGCTTTGTTTTCTCCTTGGGCGCCCCTTTTCCTTCCCTCTCACCAGCTTTTCCTGCTAATTTTCCTTCATCTATTTAATCTTTACTTACGCTTCCATTTCTCATTCTTTTCCACTTGCAAATTTATTTTACACTTTGACCAAAAAGCCCGAAACACCATTTTTCGAGTAACATTAGTTAGAAACTCGTTTCCCTTCGTTGAACAGATGCCCCGTTCCTCCAACTTCATTTACCATTATCTCCTGTTTGCCTTTTCCTCTCTTGTTCATTTTTTTTGTTTTCTTGTTCCTGCCAATCCTCTTCTCCGCTTTCAACTTCGCCTCTTTATAATTAAATTTTCTTGCCATTTTTGCATCAATTGTGTTCTAATCTTTGCCTTCCCGTTTCTTAAAGCTCTCGAGACTCTAATGAGTCTCTCTCCATTTTCCATTTTGGACATTTTCGAATGTTCCAGACCAATATTTTCAGAAAATTTCCATCTGGTGAATTGCTTCAAAGTTTTAGTGCTAAATTCGTTAATAAATGTTCAAATGCATGGAAACATACGATATTCAGATACCGTTCAATGTGATATTATGCCTATTAAAACGAAAATCGAACAGATATTTCAAGTATCTCCGCCCTACTGAACATCAAATAGGAGGCATTAATTTACAAATTAAACCTTTGGAAAGTTCACTAACTTTTAATGAATGTGCCATTAAATAGTGGCAGGGAGTTTAAATTTTAATTTGATATTTATAATTCGTTTGTTTAAAGTTTTTTCCATTTTAAAGACGGTCAGGATAATAATTATATTTTACTGTTTAAACACTAGTTGTATTTTTTTTTTGCAAGAATATTCCTACTAGTTTGGGACTTTCTAGGTGTATTTCAAATTAAACGGGAAGTATTTAAAAACATGCTAAATTTATTTCATGTTAAGAAAATTGCGCTTTTGATCCAGCCATGAGAAAGCTTTAGTGGAAATTGCAATTTCCAGCTGAAATCTACTTGTATAATCCATCTGCAGTGGATTGTTATTAAGCTTACATATCGACGAGTTTGAAAAGTGGATTAAATCTTCGAATTAAGGGCAAACAGATTTATTATGCAATTACTTTAAGAGCGCCAAGGCGAAGTTTTGGACGGTTCTTATTGAATATTGATGATTTATTTTGGTTTTTCCAATTTAGCTGCTCCAACTTAAACATGTAGTCGCTAGCTAGTTTAAATTCTTCCCAAGTGACTAAGTATTTCTGGGATAATAAATAGCGGCATTATGGAAAAGTGGTAATTACAAAGACAAAACGTAAACCGTTCCACACATAAATTTTCCTATAAGCAAATTGTTTATAGACTTCGGTATTGAATATATAAATAATTGTAATCGCAGGCAATTATTTCCGCCGCTAATTGGCCATCGCCATTTGGGTGTTTGTTTTAAAAGTTTCAGCATGTAGAATAAATAGCTTGGAAAATAAACACTGTAGGTTCTACTTGGTACTTTATGCACAAAAGCTATTTTCGGCAGTTTTAATGCGCTAATCAGTTGAAACATTCCCGATGATTCAACACTAACCAAATTTGTTCAAGGAAATTGCGCTGAAAGTCCGGAAAAAAACATTTGGAAAATGTTGGATCATAGATTATTAAAACGTGGATTTTAATTGCCAGCAACAGGCGGTAATTCATGCATATGCATGAGCAAAATGGACAAATTGGTCAAGCAGCCAAAGGAATTGCTAAACACACAAATGGCATAATAGATAAATAAACAATGCACGTTTATGAAAGTGCGAAAAACCGAGCAATTGTTGGTAGAAGATTTTATTGAGTTTGCTTGAGGTTGAATTTGATTTACCTACGGTCACTTTGAAATAAAAATTTGGGGTTTGGCCCCAAAAAACAGCCTCAACCTCATTTGATTCTAATGAAATGTGGCGAACTCTTCAGTCACTTAGAAAACGACTGCAGATGCTGCTGAAATCGACCAGTTGTTGATAGAAAACGTTTTCGAAAAAGATTTGATGGAGTTTTATTGATGTCGTAGTCGGAAAGTTAGTGCATCCGTTTTAAACATGCGACGGGATATAAAGGAGCCGTTTTGGAAGCGTCAAAGGAGCTGCACCGAATAAATGAATATTTACTGCGTTTGGATGGCGCCTAATCGGTTTTCACCTTTGACTGGCTTTATGGTAATGTTTGGCTGGAAAATTACGTTGGCTTCGCGTCAACATTATTTGGACGATCAAATGGCACTTGGATTTCCGCGGCAGGAAATTGCTTTTCGAATTTTCAACCCCGCTAAAGTCAACCCTCGATTCCACAGGTGTTGGCAGATAATTAGTGATCGCTTTGTATTTATTTTTCATTTTCCGTCTCTTAATGTTCAAAGGCCAATCGTGCCACTGTGTGTTAAAAGTAGGTAAGCAAATATTGTTGCAGAAGTCTTACAATGAAGCCATAAAATATCGAACAATGGTTGTTGTAAGTCGTAAAAAATTGGGAGATTCAGTAAACTGGAAAACTACAAACCTCAAAACTGGTTTTAAATCTTGCATTTTGCCTCTCTAATGTACTTTTCATATTAGTCCAGGATTGTCGGAATATTTTACAGCTGAAATTGCCGTTTTCGCTTCGCAGTAGAAGGGCCTAATATTAAAAAATCATGTTTTTTACATATTTAAGTAAAGTAATAACAGGAGAGTCGCTTGGGGTTAGCGTTTCCGGGTTGCAAATATTGAAAATCGCCCCTTTGAATATGAAGGGACCTTCCTATCATCTTTATTGGATGGATGTAGTGGAAAGAAATATCGCGTTTGTCCGATTACGAATTTTTATTCAACTGAACCGTACTGGCTAAGTGATCACTCAAAAGCGAATTCTTCAATTGAAATTTTATTTATTTAATTTTATTTAGGTATATGATTTGTATTTTGTCCAGTCTCAAATTTCCAAGTTTGCTAACAGCTATGTATTAAACTGTATGGTGTTTCCTCAGTGTACGAACTAAAATGTACATGGAACGCTCTCATTTATCCGAAAAGGCAAATTTCGAGCTTGTGAAAGACCCGAAAAAATAACAAAATCTATAATCCATCCTCAAAGATGCGCTGTAATTTTTTACGATTTTGACTGGCCGAAAGCATATCGAAGTTAAAAATAAGCTTGCTTCTTGCCATGCGAAAAGTGCACTTAAAAACCGTCGTCAACAATGCTTCTAGGAAAATTCCTATTTATGAAAAATGGAAATCCAAAGAGGGACTTGCAATTCGTATTGAAACCGACACAGTTTCATTAAAATTTTATTCAGCAAAACCAAGTTTATGCGAGATTCTCGAGCCAGCGAAACTGTAGCGGCAGTTGCGATGCAGAAAAGAAATGTTTTTCCTCCAAGAAATCTACCGGATTTAGTTTCTTTATAGCCGAGTTATGAATTTATCAAGTAAACTTGATGATCCAAATACAAAAGTGGTTAAATTGACTGGCTGACTTTATTGTGATTTTTAATCACTGTGCAAGCAAAACGGTTGCAGCGGATTTTTCCTCAAAAATTCAAAACTAGAGACAGGAAACTTTCCCAGTCCAATAAAGATTCTTCAGTCTACAAGTTCCAGATTTTCCATCGGCTGGCAAAAGAGCGATTGTTAGTAAAGAAGAATAAAAATGCAAATTTCACAGTTTATTCAGGACATGTGAGTCTATAAACATTGACCAAACCATGCCAAAAAAGCACTTTATCAGGATGTTTTACGATGCGGCATAGTGGTTCAAAGTGATTTTTTCGTCCATATGCAAGTTCACTTTCAGAAAATCGAAACTTCCGAACAGAACAGACTTGCGCCTCAAAAAATTAACCATTTACTGAAGACAACTTAGGCTCAACTTCTGGAGAATCATCTTAAAATTCGGCTTTATCTTCATTTTTCACCACTTGGCAACAGTCGCGGTTGCAATAGAATTTGTCCATTCATATTCAGCCTCACTTCAAACAATCGAATCTTGCAAACTGAAACAGTTTCATAAAAATCTCATCCAGCCAAACCAATTTTATGCGGGATTTCCACAGTGAAACTGTAGCGGCAGATGCGATGCAGAAAAGAAATATTTTTCCCCCGGAAATGTGCGGGATTTAGTTTCTGTATAGCTAAGTTATGAAATTATCAAGTAAAATTGCCGATGCAATAAGAAAGTAGTTAAATTTGTACGTGGTGAATCCAATATAAAGCGACTTTTGCGATGCGATTCGTTTTGCTGGCTGATATCAAAAGACCGTCTGATCGAATAAATGAATATTTAGTACGCAGCTTAATCGGTTCTACCCTTTCGGTCGCTCTATGCAAATTGGTGACACCTAGATAACTAAGCGTTGGCCTCATAGTCAGGAAATTTGAATTTTAGCCCTGATGGAGACGCCAGTGTTTATTTGCTTTCATTAGTAGAAGCCAACATTGTCTTTAAACCATTTAATTAAAGACTGTTGTTTTTCCAGAGAAAATGTAGTTGACTCGTTAAGGGCAGACTGGTTGATAGATTTTTGAAAAAATAGCCTGACTGTTCAAGGAATTGTTTCAATTCACCGAACCTTTTCTTTATTGCTTTCCCTTTTTGTGTCTTTATCGGGGCACAATGCCGATTCTGCCCTCGCCTGCTTTGCATGAATGTGGGTTTCTAGTATTTTCATACAACAATTTCCAGAACAATATTGTGTAGGCGACAATTCACACTCTACTCAATTTACCATCAGAAACCTGATTTTTTATGGGAAATTTATAGAATATTCCCACAGCTTTGCAGCTTAAAACAGCTGGAGGCGGAGGAGAACAAAGCTAATGGTATTCAATTTGCTGCAAGCAGATTTATATGGATCGACTCCAAATAGCTTGATGAATCCTCTTATAGAGAAGCTTTAGCGCAACAAGCTACTGCCCTTTGAAAGCCCGTGTTTGGGGTTGTTTTCAAGACCTCAATTTCCTCTTGTGATGATGCACTTGATAAGCATTTAAAAAGAGACTTTACATTGATAAAGTCCTTTGAAACTGTTCAGTGGTGTAAAATTTTCCAGTTTCAAGCCATGGCCACAAAAACCTGATTCAATAAATACCTTTATCCCAAAAATCGAGCTGCATTGTGTGCGTCCAAGTAAGCATACATCAGTGCATGATTTATGCGCTCGCTCGCTTAACATTAACTTCTGATTCTGAAATAAAAAAAAAACTGGTTCAGTGCTCGAAGTCACTAAGGCATTTTACGCAATATTTCATAGAACAAACACATTAAAAAGCTCTTTTATCGAACGCCAACGCGTTAATGTGCCTCATTCGTGCAGCTAAAAATAAATTAATATTAATAGTTTCAAAGAGAATTGAAAAAAGTGCTTTTCCCACACAAGCAAACGAATATTTAAAAAGCCGTCTTTTTAGATAATGAACCATCGATAAGGAAATGTTGGCAGTTTTCTCAAAAAAGTCTTGACTTCAAGACGTTTTAGGTTTGCGTGTTTTTTTTTCTGAGTTGCAAAATCGACTCAGACATGACGCTGCTTTTTCGAAGTTTCGCAAGAACCATTTGAGCTACAGAGTTCGTTTTGGCATCGATGGATAGAAAATTGAAAACTCGATTCAGTCAAAACATTAGTGGGGAAAGTCGAGTAGTTTTCACCCAGAAAGCGAAATTTGAATATCAGACACTTAGGTGCAAGATTATGCCAAAATTTCATGTTTTCCGACCCGTTTTTGTCCATTTCTTGAGAGCAAAATGAGAAAGAACGCTCATTTTTGCATCATTCTCGAGAGAACTAAATGGTCTTTTTAGAAAGTAAACCATCAATAAGGAAATGTTGGCAGTTTTCTCAAAAAAGTCTTGAATTCAAGAAGTTCTGTATATCCAGCTCGGTAATTCTTACCGAGTCCGAGGATGTCTTCTAGTTTGGTACAACTTTTGTTTACTCAAATCTTAAAACGTTCGTGACTGCTTACTGATTCCGCTTGTTAATTGAATGTTTTTCTACTCTATAATGTCGACTTGATAGACATTGGCTTCTGCTAAGTAAATCATAGATTATCGTGAATAAATAAATTGATGCCTCTGATTTACTGGAACAAACATAAATATTTTCAATGAAACCGTTTTTAACGAACTGCGGAAATATCGGATGGGAAACTATTGCCAGCTACATGGGGAAATTAAATTTGCACAGCTGAATAAATCGAGCTAAAAAAACCAAAGTTAGTGAACCTTAAAATAAATAAAATATAAAGAATGCAATTTTTACAGTATTTTGCCAATGTTTTATAATTAAACCAATTCCATCAAGAACAGTGGAAAAATCTGTGGATTTTTTTGGAAAATCAAATTGGGCAATAACATCATAAAGGCCGCTTTCCATTAGCTAGAAAATTAAAGGTTTATGGGCCCTAATAAAAATAAATATTGGGTCGGTCAACATCACCCAAATACGACCGAAAAGAGATATTTATCTTACTTTATTATATTGCCGCATCAACCACAGCTGCTGTGGACTGTTATTTTTATTTAGTTGATTTTTGCGACATAAAGGGGCAATGAAAACGCACTTTTTTCAATAAAACCTTTAATTCGCTTCAACTTCTTTAGCTATTCTGTCCTAACAAGAGCGAAGTTGTTCCATTTCAGTGCAAAAAGGGCACATAAAAATGAAAAACAACTGAGCTAATGTGGGTTAAATCGATGCAGCATGCTTTATTGTTGTCCGAAAAAACACATTGCGGTGTTGGAAATTTCTGGAATTAATTTTGATAGAATTTGAACATAATAGAGCAATTTAACATAATGATACTTCATGAATAATTGGAGCAGTTTAATTTTAATGGGAGATTATTGGCGTATAATGTTTATGCTAATGGACGCAATAAATACGCGCGGTAAAGTGCCTAGTTGAGTATCATCACGAGTAAAAATCTGAACAATATGAAGAAAGCATGAAAAGAAGCAAATAAATCGACAATTTTCCCTTTGCTTGGCAGCCTTTCGCTGATTTTCTTGATGCTCAAGTTTCCCTGCACCATTTTCCAAAGGAATGGCGAACAAGGCCATTAACGCCGTTTGCTTATAATTTAGTAAACATAACACTGACGTAATGGAAATTTAAGTGTCATAAACAATGTGGTATAATGTTTTTATTAGACTTTGCTGCTTGGGCGAGCCTCCGAGCTGAAAGACGGACATCTTAACTTTATTGGATTCCTGATGGTGTAATAGTGGGCTAAATGGGCTCTGGAAGTAATGCCAGGGCATGTTTACAAGATTTTCAGCACCCTTTCATGGGAATTTCTTTGGCTAAGTGCACTTTACCAGTGCATATTAGCGGCAGCATCTTTGAGGAAATTAAGTGGTTTAAACTTCAGCTAATGAGGAATCAAAATTGTAATTTTAAAAGTGAAATGCCAAATTGACAAATTCTTAGACGAAGAAAGAATTTTTTTTTGATATACGATGGTAATTTTAATGTCTTTGATGTTGAAACTGCTAAAAAAAAGCGATATTTTGAAGACAAAGTTTCAGAAGTTTTGCACTGCTGCATTGGTCACCCTGTAGAATATTCGTCCGTAGGACTGAAATTTTGGAAAAACGCTCACTGACGGAGGAAGAATTGGTCTACATAACGCTTCAAACATAAATGAAGTGGTTTGCACCCTTCAGAAATCATCCAGTTCCAAACTTAGGGTAAGTGTTGGCCTTTTTCGAGCAGTTTTAGCAAAATGTTCGATTGTCTCACAGCTGGCTCCAAGGAAGCGATAACCCACAGAAAAAAATGTAAAATTGAAAAAAATTGACCAAACCAATTTTAAAATTGAAAATCAGTTTGGAAAACCGCAATGTGGAGCGTGCACGATTGTCTTCATGGAATCAGAAGTTGCAAAGTATGGCATAAAGATTCGTTTTTTTGGCGGAGAAAATATTGAGAGCGAAGACTTTTCAGAAAATTTATCGGTTTGCTTTGATCAATTTACCGCTTTCCATTAAAAGTTCTTTAATACTCTTTAAAGAAAAATTAACAGATAAAGATTCTGCAGGGTACAATCTGTGTGTACATATTTCTGATTGCTGCCCGCGATTGGATTTCTGTTTGAAGCGTTCTCTAGTCCAATTCTTTTTGCGTCAGTTGGTGTTTTTAAAATTTGTACTCCTGGACCGGTTCCTTATGAAACATCCAACATTTACTTACCCAGTAAAAACAGTTTCCCTGAAAATATCTAGGTATTTTTTGGATAGGTAACAGTTCCCCATAGTACAGAAAACACAGTAAAAGAACCGAAATATCGTTCAGATATTCAAATCGTCGATAAATTTGATAAAAATGCGAGAAATGTCGGTAGATTCACAAGTAGGTCCTCCCAAGAGATGCCGTGTGGGTTCTCAGCTCTACGCCTTCCAACCGGCGATTAGACTTTTCAATTTTTCGGGTTATTTTTAAACTTGATCGACAGCAACATAAATATTATTCGCGAGCTTGAGCAGGATTTTCGACAACTTGCTGGGCGAGTTTTTAAAGCATCGGGGAAGTAAAAAAAATCTTATCCCCAGAAGGGAATGTTTTTGAACCGTCTTGGATTGATTTCGGGGCTGCAAACATCCAAAAATATTATTAGGTAGCTTCAAACCACCTCATTCGGCGGTGTAAAGAGTTTTGACTTGAAACCCGCTCAAAAGGCTTGGTGGAAACAATTCATTTGCAGTTGGAGGGATTTTCAACTCCGGTGCTTGAAGTGGCTGGAGAGCCAACATCAAAGAAACCATGCCAGTTTTGCGCTTTGATTTCGAGCAGCAAACGCCACATAGGAACTATTATTAATACAAGAACAGCGTTAATTTCTACATCGTGTTTCCAGTAAAACTGCAAGGAGTTTGGTTGATGTCTCTTACAGCATTCGCGAATCCACCAATTACTCGTTTTTTTGGATTGACATTCGACAGGAAAATGATCAATTTCTGTGTTTGCTACTGCATAATTTCATTATGAGGACACACTTGATTGAATAAAAGGTACAATTAAGCGCTCTTGTTGATAACTGGAGTTATCCGAGCAATTACTCCGCCTAACTCGCGTTTGATAAAATGAGTGGAACTTTTCCTAACAGTGTAACACAGAAACATAATGTATTATTTATCTAGACAACTAACGATTTGAATAATGGCCATTACCAAATAGCCAGGCGACTATTAATAAATGTCGTCGCGATTAATGAGGAAATTAAACTCGTATCATTAACGGAACTGTTCCAAGGAAGAAATTCGATGGACAGGCACTGTTTTACGATACGGTATTTTATTGACAAAGTTCAGATAATGTTTATGGCTCGTAATATTCTATTGAGGGTTTATTATCTTTAGGATGTTTTCCTAGTGATATAAACAGTCGCTTTTAGATAGAACTTGTGACATACCAAAGCTTAACATTGGCTGCTCTGCTAGCGGGTTTAGGACTCGATCGAATTTAATATTCCTTAATAAAAAATCCCGAATCTTCAGCTCTTGCTCAGGACTATTTTTAATGCTGAACAAGAGCAGAATGTTTTCCCATTTATTTGGGTATTCATCAAAGGCAATTCTCGATGCTAAAATGCGTTCACTACTCAGGCTTGCATCAGTCAATCAATTTGATCAAGGGTCTTGGTAAGGACCTAAATTCCAGGCCGAAACGTTCCAGTTCCAGAACAGACAGTATGAAGTTTCCATCCCAAACAAAAAAATCTGTTAATGGCAAATTCCAATCTCACAATCCACTCCATCGGGATTAGCTTATTTATCAGTAAGTTCCTTATTTACTTTCTAACTTAGCTGCTTAAAATCCAATTTTAACAGATTAAAGCAGAGTGCCATTGAATTTTAGGAGTCATTAGTATTCAGCAACTTCCCTGAAAGTAGTTCGGGCTTATCGCTGGCATAATTCCATGTAGGAGACTTGAGCCTTCTTTCCGCGTGCTATTGTGATTTAGTAGCAACCAAAGCATAAAAATGCCCTAAAATTTTGCGATTTAATTGCGGCTGATTGAAATCGATCGAGAAACTCATGAGAAACTTGCTTGAGGCAATGCTAAGGAGTGGAACTGAGAGGAAATAACACTCAGCATAAACTGGCTTCTTTTAGGAAAGGAAACCCTCAAGCAGATATGTCTGTTTAAGAGTGAAAGTGCCGGTTAAATAGCTTGGTGAAGCAAC